GTCCCAGCAGCGCAGCTCGCAGCGCATCGACCTCTCCACCGCGCTGCAGGCGCTGGCCGAAGGCATCGCCAGCACGCGCATCGAACTGAGCCTGGACGACGCCGCGCGCGACCTCGGCCCCCGCACCGCGCACGCGCTGCTGCGCTGCGTGCAGGAGGGCGTCACCAACAGCGTGCGCCACGCCGGCGCGCGGCGCGTGCAGGTCGAACTGCGGGGAGATGGCGATGAAGTCGCCGTCAGCATCGACGATGATGGGCGCGGCGCGCCAGGCTGGCACGCGGGCCGTGCCGAGGTGTTTGGCAATGGCCTGTCCGGCATGGCCGAGCGCATGGCCGAACTGGGCGGGCAGATGCGCGTGACGCGCACGAGCCCTGGGTTTCGAATCGAGCTGAGATGTCCGCGATGGGTGTGATCAAGATCCTGCTGGTCGAGGACCAGCAACTGGTGCGCGAAGGCCTCAAGGGGCTGCTCGCGCTGCATGACGACGTGCAGCTCGTCGGCGAGGCCAGCGACGGCGCCGAGGCGCTGGAGTGGCTGTCCGCCGCCGCGCCCGAGGCCATGCCCGACGTGATCCTGTCCGACATGCGCATGCCGCGGCTGGACGGCGTCGGCCTGATCCGCGCGCTGGCCGCACGCGCGCTGCGCCTGCCGGTCATCCTGCTGACGACCTTCGACGACACCGCCGCCTTCGACGAGGCCGCGCGCGCCGGCGCCAAGGGCTTCCTGCTGAAGGCCATCAGCACCGACACGCTGCTGCAGGCGCTGCGCGACGTGCATGCCGGTGGCACTGCGCTGCGCCCGTCGCTGACGACGCGCATGGAGGCCAAGGGCGGCGAGCGTGCCTTCACGGCCGCCGACCATCCCGATCCCCTGAGCCCGAAGGAGCTGCAGGTGCTGCGCCTGGTGGCCAGCGGCCGCAGCAACACCGAGATCGCCAGCCTGCTGGGCAACAGCGAAGGCGTCATCAAGAACCACTGCTCGGCCATCTTCTCCAAGATGGGCGTGCGGGACCGCACGCAGGCGGTGCTCAGGGCGATCGATCTGGGCTGGATCTAGCCGCATTTGCGGGCCAAGCGCCGGGCCGTCCCAAGCGGCCCGCCTTGGGCGATGTGCATGCCGGTCAATCCGGCATGCATCGCCGTCCCCTTGGGGGACCGACCGGGCGCGCCCGCGTTCACCGTGGCGCGGCGGGGCGAGGGGCTGCCAATGCCCCCATCTGCAGCACCCAGTAACGTTGCAGCTTGCCGCGGCTGGCCACACAGGCGAGGCCGAAGTCCTCGAAGTCGGGCGCCATCAGGTTCTCGCAGTGCGGCGGGCTGGCCAGCCACCGGGCCAGCGCCTCGTCCAGCGTCTCCGGGCCGCCGGCCAGGTTCTCGCCGGACACGCGCATCACGTAGCCCGCCTCGCGCAGCCGCGTGC